TCTTTATTGATTTCAGAGAGAGGAAGGGAGAGGGGGAGAGAGAGTTGTCATTGATCGGCTACCTCCTGCACGCCCCCGAGTGGAGATCAAGCCCGCAACCTGGGCATGTGCCCCGACTGGGAATCGAACCACAATCTCCTGGATCCTGTTGATGCTCAACCTCTGAGCAACGGCCAGCCCGGCAGGACTTCCTTCTTATGGCTGCATAATATTTGTGTATATGTGTATGAATGACATCTTTTTTTTATTCAACTGTTGATAGATACTTAGGTTGTATCTATGTATTGGCTATTGTCAGTAATGCTACAGTGAGAGCACAATTCACACTAGCTAAAACATGACAATAGCCCAAGTGTCCTTCAACAGATGATTGGATAAAGAAGATGTGCATACTGTATGTGTGGATATTTTTTCTAGGCTCTTGATTTTGTTCCATTGTTCCACGTGTCTGTTTTTATGCCACTATCATACTGTTTTGATTACTGTAGCTTTGTAGTCTAGTTTGAAATTAAGAAGTGTGATGCCTGCAGCTTTTTTCTCAAGATTGCTTTGGGTATTCACTCTTTTGTGGCTCTGTACAAATTTTAAGAATTTTTTTTTTTCTGTGAAAAATACCACTGGAATTTTGATACGGATTGCATTGAATCTATAGATGGCTTTGGGTAATAGGGACATTTTAACAGTATTCATTCTTCTGATTCATGAACATGGGATATTTGTCCATTTGTTTGCGTCTTTAGTTTCTTTCATCAAAGGCTCGTAGTTTTCAGTGTAGAGATCTTTTACCTCCTTGGTTAAATTTTTTCCTATTTGATTGTTTTTGATGCTATTGTGTTATTTTTGAAGGTGAGTGATTTCCTTTAAAAAAAAAATCTTTTTTTATATTAATTTTTTTCCATCACCATTTATCCCCTCCATGCCCTCTTCCACCTTCACCTCCACAATCACCTCACTGTTATCCACATCCATGAGTTCTCTCTGTCTTTTTTACCTCGCCCCCCACCCCAAACTGTCTGCTTATGCTCGATGAGTCTTTATGAGACTGTCTCCATTTTGCTTGGTAGTTCAGTTCATTAAATTCTACATGTGAGTGAAATCATATGGTACTTGTTTTTCTCTGACTGGCTTATTTCACTTAGCATAATGGTTTCCAGGTCCATCCATGCTGTCACAAAGGGTAAATTTTTCTTTCCTTTTATGGCAAAGTAGTAGTCCATTGTGTAAATGTACCACAGTGTTTTTTTATCCACTCGTCTATTGATGGACCCTTGGCCTGCTTCCAGATCTTGGCTATTGTCAGTAACGAAGCAATGAACATAGGGGTGCATATATTCTTTCGAATTAGTGTTTCGGGTTTCTTCGGATAAATTCCCAGAAGAGGAATCGCAGAGTGATTTCTTTATTTTTCAGATGTTTTTCAACTATTTTCTGTATGTTGATTTTGCATTCTGCAACTTTTATTTATTTTTTCTTGCTTGTTTGTCCTGGATAGTACTTCCAGTACTATATTGAATAGGAGTGGTAATAGTAGGTATCCTTACCTTGTTCATGAACTTAGGGGAAAAGCTTGCAACCTTTCACCATTGAGTATGATGCTTGCATTGGATTTGTCACATATGGCCTTTATTATGTTGAAATATGCTCCTACTCTACTTTCTTTGTTGAGGGTTTTGTTTTTTTCATGAAATGATGTTGTATTTTGTTAAATGCTTTTTCTGCCCCTATTGTGATGATCATATAATTTTTACCTTTCATTCTCTTAATGTGGTGTACCCCATTTATTGCTCTGTATTTGTTGTTTTGCCTTGCCAGTTTTTATTTTCTTCCTGATTTTGAACATTTTTTTAAGACTTTAGTGTTGAGAGTATTATAGATGTCCCCCTTTTTCTCCCCCTTACCCACCACCACCCAGTTCTTATCCTGCCCCAGGCCTTCATCACCCTCTTATCTGTGTTTCTATGTAATGCATGTATGCATATAAGTTCTTTGGTTTATCTCTTCCCATCCTCCCCCCTCTTTTCCCCTGAGATTCCTCAATCTGTTCCATGTTTCCATGCCTCGAGTTTTTTATTCATCAGTTTATTGTGATCATTAGATTCCATATATAAGTAAGATCATGTGGTATTTGTCTTTCTCTGACTGGCTTACTTTGCTTAGTGTAATCATCTCCAGGTCCTTCATGCTGTCTCAAAGGGTAATAGATCCTTCTTTTTCATAGCTGCATAGTATTCCAGCTTTTTTATCCACTCATCCACTGATGGGCACTTGGGCTGTTTTCAGGTCTTAGCTATTGTAAACACTGCTATGAGCATAGGGGTCCATATGTTCTTTCTTATTGGTGTTTTGGGGTCCTTAGGATATATTCTTAGAAGTGGGATCACTGGATCAAATGACAGTTCCATTTTTAATTTTGGGGGGAAACTCTATACTGTTTTCCATAGTGGCTGCACCAGTCTGCATCCCCACCAGTAGTGTACTAGGGTTCATTTTTCTCCGNGGCTCCCTTTTCTCTACATCCTTGCCAGCACTTGTTTGATTTGTTGATGGCAGCCATTCTGACAGGTGTAAGGTGATACCTCATTGTAGTTTTAATTTTTACTACTCTGATGATTAGTNCCTCATTGTAGTTTTAATTTGCATCTCTCTGATGTTTAGTGACGTTGAGCATTTTTTCATATGTCTCTTGGCCATTTGTATGTCCTCTTTGGAGAAGTGTGTATTCAGTTCCTCTGCCCTTTTTTTTTTTAAACTGTTTCTGGATTATTTTTTTAGTTGGGTTTTTTTTTTTAGTATATCTTTATTGATTTCAGAGAGAGGAAAGGAGAGGGAGAGAGAGAAACATCAATGATGAAAGAGTCATTGATCGAGCCCACAACCGGGCATGTGCCCTGACTGGGAATCGAACCCCGATCGCCTAGGTCGACTCTCAACCCCTGAGCCACGCCCGTCCGAGCCCATTTTTAAAAAAAATGTTTTTATTGATATCAGAGAAAGGAAGGGAGAGGGAGAGAGAGAGAGAAACATCAATGATGAGAGAGAAATTGGCTGCCTCCTGCACCCCCCCCACCGGGGATCTCTGGTGTGTGCCCTGACTGGGAATTGAACCATGACTGCCTGGTCCCTGGGTCGACACTCAAGCGCTGAGCCTTGCTGGCCATGCTTCCTCTATCTCTTTTTTCAACGCCATGTACTTTTTCGAGTATAGGTCTTTTGCCTCCATGAATAAGTTTATTCTTAAGTATCTTAATTTTTTTGTTGCACTGGTAAATGGGATTGTTTTTTTAGTTTCTCTTTCTGAGGGTTCATTATTGGTGTATAAAAATGCCATTGATTTCTGGATGTTAATTTTGTATCCTGCTATAGTGCCGAATTAATTTATTAAATTTGGTAGTTTTTTGGTGGAGTCTATAGGATTTTCTATGTACAATGTCGTATCATCTACAAATGATCACAGTTTTACTTCCCTCTTTCCAGTTTAGATGCCTTTTATTTTTTCTAATTGTCTGTTCATTGTGGCTAGGACTTCCAGTACTATGTTGAATAAGAGTGGTGAAAGTGGACATCCCTTTCTTGTACCTGTTATTAGGGGAAACACTTTTAATTTTTGCCCGTTGAGTATGATGTTGGTTCTAGGTTTGCCACATATGGTGTTTATTATGTTGAGGTATGATTCCTCTATTCCCACTTTGCTGAGAATTTTTTCAAAAATGGGTGTTGGATTTTGTCAGATGCTTTTTCTGCATTAATTGATATGATCATGTGATTTTTGTCTTTCAGTTTGTTTATGTGATGTATCACATTTATTGATTTGCCAATATTGTACCAACCGTGCATCCCTCTTGGTCATGGTGTATGATCCTTTTAATGTATTCTGCATCTGATTTGGTAATATTTTGTTGAGAATTTTAGCATCTATGTTCATCAGGGATATTGGCCTGTAATTTTTTTTCTTTGTAGTATCTTTATCTAGTTTTGTAATTAGGATAATGCTTGCCTTGTATAAAGAACTTGGAAGTGTTCTTTCCTCTTGGAATTTTTGGAATAGTTTGAGGAAGATCGGTGTTAGTTCTTCTTTGAATGTTTGGTAAAACCACCCTGTGAAGCCATCCAGACCAGGACTTTTATTTGCTGGGAGTTTTGTTTATTACTGCTTCAATTTTTTCAGTAGCTGTTGGCCTATTCATGTTTTCTGATTCTTCCTGATTGATTTTTGGAATGTTATATTTTTCTAGGAATTTGTCCGTTTCATCCAGGTTGTCCAGCTTGTTGGCATATTGTTGTTCATTGTATTTTCTTACAATCCTTTGTATTTCTGTGGTGTCAGTTCCTTCACTTCTTTTATTTCTAATTTTATTTATTTGGATCCTCTCTGTTTCTTAGTGCATCTGGCTAAAGGTTCATCAATCTTATTTATCTTTTCAAAGAACCAGCTTTTGGTTTCATTGATCTTTTGTATTGTTTTTTTTTTTAGTCTCTATGTCATTTATTTCCTCTTTGACCATTATTATTTCCTTCCTTCTACTTATTCTTGGCTTTCATTGCTGTTCTCTTTCTAATTTTTTAAGTTGTGGAGTTACATAGTTTATGAACTTCCCTCTCAGGACTGCTTTCACTGTGTCCCATAGATTTTGAGTTGTTGCATGGTTTCATTTGTTTCCAGTAAGTTTTTTATTTCTTCCTTGCTCCCTTTAATAACCCATTCATTGTTTAATAACATGCTATTTAGCCTCCATGTGTTTAAATGTTTTTGAGTGTTTTTGTTGTAGTTGATTTCTAATTTTATGCCATTGTGGTCTGAGAAGGTGCTTGATATGATTTCAATCTTTTAAACTTGTAGAGACTTAGTTTGTGTCCTAACGTGTGGTCTTTCTTTGAGAATGACCCGTGTGCACTTGAGAAGAATGTATATTCTGTAGCTTTGAGGTGAAATGTTCTATGCATGTTAATTTCACCTGATCTTGTGTGTCTTTTAGGATCGTTGTTTCCTTGTTGATTTTTTGTCTAGAATATCCAGTGATGTCTGTGGGGTGTTAAAGGTCACTACTGTCATGTATTGCTGTTGATCCCTCCCTGAAAGTTTCCAGAATTTTTTTAAAAATTATATTTGGGTGCTCCTATATTGGGTGCATATATGTTTATCAGGGTTATATCCTCTTGTTGTATAGATCCCTTTTGTATTATCTAGTTACCTTCATTGTCTCTTGTTATGGTCTTAATTTTTGAAGTCTATTTTGTCAGATAGGAGTATTGCTACCCCAGCTTTTTTTTCTTTTTCATTTCTATTTGCTTGTAAAAGTTTTTTCCATACCTTCTCTCTCATCTTGTATGAGTTTTTTGTTCTGAGGTGGGTATCTTGTAGACAGCATATACATACATTATGTTTTCTTATCCATTCAGCTACCCTATGTCTTTTGATTGGATCATTTAATTTATTTACACTTAAAGTTATTATTGATAGGTACTTATTTATTGCCTTTTTCCCCCCCTTCATGCCTATGTTCCTCTCTTTCTCTCTGTTTCTTCTTCTGACACCAGCCCCTTTAGCATTTCTTACAGTGCTGGTTTGGTGGTAGTATATTCCTTTAGCCTTTTTATGTTTGTGAAGCTGTTTCACCTTCAGTTTTGAATGATAACCTTGCTGGGTAGAGTATTCTTGGATGCTTTACATTTGTTGAACCATTCTTATATCCCAGGGATAAATTCCATATGCTCATGTTCTGTGATCCTTTAATGTACTGTTGAATTTGGTTTGCTTATATTTTGTTGAGAATTTTTACATCTGTATTCATCAGGGATATTGGTCTTTACTTGTAATATCTTTATCTGGCTTTGGTATCAGGGTAATTCTGGCCTCATAAAATGAGTTTCGGAGTGCTTACTCCTTTTTGGTTTTTGGAAGAGTTTGAGCATTGGCATTAATTCATCTTCAATGATAATTGAAATGGTAGACTTACCAGTGAAACCATCTGGTCCTTGGCTTTTCTGTGTTGGAAGGTTTTTGAGTGCCAGTTAATCTCCTTACCCATACTGATCTGTTCAAAATTTCTATTTCTTCATCAGTTCTTGGCAGGTTGTACATTTCTAGGACTTCATTTGTTTCTTCTAGGTTATCCAGTTTGTTGGCATACAGTTGTTTGTAGTGGTCTCTCATGATTCTTTTTATTTCTGTGGTATTAGTTTTAATGTCTTCTCTTTCATTTCTGATTTTATTTATTTTAGAGCTCTCTCTTTCTGAGTTAGTCTAGCTAAAGATTTGTCAACTTTGTGTTTCTCTTCAAAAAACCAGCTCTTAGTTTTTTTATTCTTTTCTGATCTCTATTTTACTTATTTCCCCTCTGATTTTTGTTAACAGTAGGTGCTTGAATAATGTTATTTTGATAATGTCTTACTATACCATTGATGAGATACTGTTGGAACATAACTCTTATTTATATCAATTAGCCTGTGGTAAAATTGGTTTGATTATACATCATTTTGCTTAAAGTTGCAGAACTTAACGATGTTAACTGAGTACTTACTGTATTTCCTTACTTTTGATAATTTTGGACTTAGTTTGTTCTTTTTCTAATTCCTTGAGGTGTAAAGTGAGGCTGTTTGAGATATTTTCTTGCTTTTTAATATAGGCATTTTTTTGCTGTAAACTTTCCTCTTAGAACTGCTTTTGCATTATCCCTTATGTTTTGAAATTCTGTGCTTCCATATTCATTTCAAGATAGTCTTGATATTCCTTTTGATTTCTTCTCTGACACATTGGTTGCTTAGGCATGTGTTTTTTCATCTCCACATATTTGTAAATTTTCCAGCTTTCCTCCTATAATTGATTTCTAAGTTTTCATATCATTGTGGTCAGAAAAAATACTTGCTTTGATTTTAGTCTTCTGAAATTTGCTGAGACTTATTTTATGACTTAACATGTGATCTGTTCTGGAGGGTGTTTCATGTGTGCTTGAGAAGAAATGTGTTTTCTGCTGCTGTTGGATGGAATATTCTGTATATATCTGTTTGTACCAGTTGGTCTAAAGCATGGTTCAAGTCCTACATTTCTTTGTTGGTTTTCTGTCTAGATGATCTATCCATTGGTGAAAGTAAGGTATTAAAGTGCTCTACTATTGCATTTTGTCTGTTTCTTCCTTTGGATCTGAGAGCATTTGCTTAATGTGTTTAGGTACTCTGATTTTATGATTGCTACATCTTCTTGATGAATTGACCCCCTTCTTATATGACCATCTTTGTTTCTTTTTACTGTTTTTGGCTTAAAGTCTATTTTGTCTGACATAAGTATAGCTACCCCTGCTCTTTTTTGGTTTCCACTTGCATAGAATATCTTTTTCTACCCCATCATGTTGAGTCTATGTGTGCCCCTAAGCTGAAGCGAATCTCTTGTAGGCAGCATATTGTTAGGTGTTTTTTGTTTGTTTGTTTTTTTACCCATCCAGCTACTCTGTGTATGGAGGCCAGATTGCTTCCTCATTTCAGTTTAGTTGAACAGGAAATGTGGTTTCTTTTTCTCTAATTTGCTACGAGCTATATCTGGAAGTAAAATGTTGAATGCATTTCCATGTTAAGTTCACATGCTAATTTTCCATTTTGCAGTGCCATGCTGAGTTAGCAACTGTGGGTTGTGCTCTTCAGTTTTTAGATTGCCCTGCAGAATTAACCCTGCAATGAGTAGTGGCCTAGGCTAGCCATATGATGGGTCACAGGGATATTACAAATTGTTATTGCCAAGATTAGAACAGTGAAGCTGAAACAAGTGTAGCCCTGATGTCTGGATAATGGGCTACATGCCAGAACCAAGTAATGAAGGACTGGGGCTAGGATGAGGTGGTAGTGGACCCCAGGGAGGGATTCTGCAGGTTACAAATCATAAACCATGGGGGTACCCAAAGTCAAAAGCAGCAAGAGATTGCAAGGAGCCAACAATGAGCTAGGGAAATTCTCAAGAGCTTCTATTTATTGTCACTGCTTTAAAAAGACTTCTGAGAGCTTTTATTAGCTAAAGTTCTAATACCTATAGCTCATTTTTAACTTTTAGGAGGGAAAGGGAGAGATGTTTTTTATACCATCATGGATGCTTAAAAAATATTGATGCCAAAAATACTAATTTTTAAGTTTAATGCTAAACTAGAAATTAGAGATCCTACATTGGGATGACTAACTTTAGCTCTAATTCCATCAGTTTCTTTATCTTTTCCAAGTACTAATTGATAGTTCTTAAAATCTCAAGGAAGGATACTTTGGATTAAACACAAAGTAATTTTATTTTTGTTATTTGAATAATTTACTAAAAAAAGTAATATAGGCCATTTATGATGAGATACTTTTTGGATATTTGGTTGATTCTTTTTTTTCATTTTCTTTTTTTTCTGCCACTTTAGAAAATATTTCAGGGTCAAAATATGAGGGAAAAGTTTGTAATTTAAATCAGGGTCAGCAATCTTTTATTATAAATGTCCAGATAGTAAATATTTTTGGTTCTGTGAGCCAGACAGTATATTGTAGTTTTTCAGCTCTGTGATTGTAGCATTAAAACAGCCACATACAATGCATAAAAGAATGGATGTGGCTGTGTTCTAATAAAACTTTATTTACGAAACCAGGCAGTGGGCTGGATTTAGCCCTCAGGATGATTGAAATTATTAGTTAGTTTCTAGTATTAATAGGGAAATTTAAAAAACTGTTATGTGCTAAAAATTTCATTGGGCTATACAAAGCATGGCCATTAACATAAAATGAATTTGGTATTTTTTTTCTTCTTCTTCCCTTTAGGCTGCAAGACAGTCTTGAATTCATCAATCAGGACAACAGTACATTAAAGGCTGATAGTAACACAGTTATTAATGGACTACTTGGAAATATAGGTAAATGGTTCCTTTGGTTTTGTAAGTTGTAAAAATGTTAACAGTATAACAAGGATTTGCAGTTCTTTCTTAATGATGTAGATCTTTTATAAGACCAAAGTTTCAAATACTAGAAGTGAAAAAGGCTTTTAAATTGTAAGTATATATGACATTTTTATTATTTGGAAAACATTTTCATATATTTGAGTATAATGTTTATTTTGTATCTGAAAAGAGAGAATTGCTGAAGATCTATCAAATTTGTTTTTGTTTTCAAGTTTGATGCATCTTTAAAAATGCAGCTGAGGAAGACTGGTATTAATTACACTTCTTCCCTTCTCTCTTCCTTAACAATAAAAGTAATTTTAAAATGGTACTTATTTTTTACCTGTAATTCAGATGAGAAGGTATTCAAATTTGATATTCCTTAAAAGATTTATTAGAGTAACAGCTTATTTAGTGATTTGGTTAATTCATTGTTGTAATTATTTAAGTTCAACGTTTCAAAGTGACAAACTGTTTCTAACATTTCTAGTCATTTGTTTTATCCTAGAAAACTTAACGAAATTGCTGCTGACCATATTTCCAGTGCATAGAGAACTACAGTATGTCAGAGTAGACAGCAGTTAGTATAGGATATTTTTCTCATTCCTTGTTTAGTGATAATTTTTTTGTAATTAATTTAAATAAATATGTATTAGTTATACGAATTAGTAGAAAATAGTTTTTTCTTCCAGCTTGAACAGTATAACATTCTATTATTTTTTATAATTCATGTTCATTCAGGTGAACACCTATTTATTAAGTACTCACTGTGGGCTAGTTACAGTATCAGGCATGCATTCCAAAAGTGTGTATATTTTATAGAAAAATAGAAGTTCTGCTTTTTCCTAAGTTGATTATTTCATTGGCTTTAACAAAGTAAAGATGTGACAAGGAAATAACTGAATCAAACTTTTTTCTTTATAATTGGCACTTTTCAGACCTCAAGGGGTTTATTAAAAGTTGTTTATCTTACTAATACTAATTCATTATCACTTATAAAGGTAATTAACACTATAGATGCTAGACATACTCATCTTCTCTGTTTTAATGTGGAATAGGAAACTATTTAACAGAGTACAGACTTTAAATAACGAACATCTTTTATTTGTACATTCTTATTGTGAATCAAGAATATTTGAGCACCGTTTTTTATTTTCTTTAAATTTCCAATTAACAAATACTAAGCACCTATTATATGCCAGACATTCTGCCAGGCCCTGTGCGTACAGTAGTAAACCAGGCACAGTTTCTGCCTCAGTGGATTTATAGTTAGTGAGAGCCAGACAAGTAATACAACAATTATAGTATTCTGTCGTTAATTTGGATAGGGTTGAGAGCATGGTGTGATAAAAATGAGGATTATCTAATTCAGTCATGGACAGTCAGGAAAGGATTCCTTGAAGAAGTTAAGCATAAGCTTGAAGGATTAGTCTGATAGTTGGAGAAAGAAATGTTCTTGGAAAAAGGAATAGCCTGTGCTCAGACCTAGGGGCTAGAGCATGGGAAGAATGTGAATAAATCAGTGTGAGTGGAGCACAGAATAGGAGTAAAGGGAGTAAAAAGAAAGAAGTGAGCAAGAGCCAAATCATGAAGGACACTGGGCGCCACACTGAGGAATTTAGACTTAATCTTTGAGCATTGGGTACCAGTGAGGAATGGTTAGTTTGGATATTCCACCTGTTTTTTAACAGGTGCCAAGACAGGATTAAACATGCAAGGATTTTATTAGGGGAAATGAGTATATGAGAGAAAATTAGGAGGGTGCTGGAAAAGATCAAGAGAGCGTTTGGATTGTGATACAAGTCTAAGCCCAAGTAAAAGAGGAATAGAAGGTTGTATGGAAGTGTCCACTCTGCCATATAGTTTAAGAAGATTTGGTAAGGCCATTGACAAGTCTTTGAGTCAAAGTTTGTTGTCAGAAGAGACCCACTTTTTGCCAAAATGGGCCTCCCTTACTATACCTGTTATGTTCAGTCATTGGCTAGGAATAATCTATGGGACATGTGAACTTGCACAAATGTGGCAGTGGATTTCAGAATACAGCAGCTGGTATACTTTGTCAGTGACAGCCCTTGGAGCTGGATTTCTTTGTGGTGCATTCTTTGTTGTTTTTAATCCTCCCCTGTGGATATTTTTTCCATTGATTTATTTATTTTTTTTTAGAGAGGGTAGAAGAGGGAGAGGATCTGGTGCAGGGAGGTAGTGGGGGGAGAGAAACATTGATGTGAGAGAGACAGATTGGTTGGTTGCCTCCCTCCTGTGGCCCTGGGTTGGGGATCAAGCTTGCATCCCAGGTATGTGCCCTTGACTGGGAATCGAACCAATGACGCTTGGATGTGGGGGGCCAATGCTGTAACCACAGAGCCACATGGGCCAGGGCTGTGGTGCATTCTTAAGGCCACCACAAAGTTTCCAGAATACAGGCATATCTCTTGAGATATTGCGGATTTCGTTCCAAACCACAACAATAAAGCAAGTATTTCAGTATAGCAAGTAACACGAATTTTTTGGTTTCCCAGTGCATAGAAGTTACATTTACACTATACTGTAGTGTGTTAAGTGTGCACTAACGTCTAAAAAAACAATGTACGTACCTTAATTGAAAAATACTTTGTTGCTAAAAAGTGCTAACCATCATAATCTCTTTTCTGGTGGAGGGTCTTGCCTTGATGTTGATGGCTGCTGGACTGATCAGGTTGGTGGTGGTTGAAGGTTGGGTGGCTTTGGCGAGTTCTTAAAATGAAACATCAGTGAAGTTTGCTGCATCGATCAACTCTTTCTTTCATGGATGATTTCTCTGTAGTATGCAGTGCTTTTTGATAGTATTTTCCCCACAGTAGAACTTCTTTCAAAATTGGAGCCATTCCTCTCAAACCCTTCCGTGGCTTTGTCAACTGAGTTTATATAATATTCTAAGTTCTTTGTTGTCATTTCAACAGCCTTCACAGCATCTTCACTAGGAGTCAATTCCATCTCAAGAAACCACTTTCTTTGCTCATTTATAAGAAGCAGCTCCTCATCTTTAAAATTTTATCACGATATTGCAGCAATTCAGTTATAGCTTCAGGCTCCACCTCTGAATCTAGTTCTCTTGCTTTTTCCACCACATCTGCAGTTAATTCCTCCACTGAAGTCTTGAACCCTCGAAGTCATCCATGAGGGTTGGGGTCAACTTCCAAACGATTGTTAATGTTGATATTTTGACCTCCTCTCATGAATCATGAATGTTCTTAATGGCATCTAGAATGGCAAATCCTTTCCAGAAGGTTTGCAATTTTCTTTGTCCTGGTCAGTTAGAGAAATCACTATCCATAGCAAGTACAGCCTTATGAAATGTATTTCTTAATAAGACTTGAAAGTTGAAATAACTCACGGATGATTCGTGGGCAGCAGAATTACTGTGTAGCAGGCATGAAAACAACATTAATCTAATTTACACCTCTGTTAGAGCTTCTGTATGCACAGCTGCATTGTCATTGAGCAGTAATATTTTGAAAGGAATCTTTATCTGAGCAGAACATCTCAACAGGGACTTAAACTATTCAGTAAACCATGTTGTAAATGCATGTGCTGTCTTCCAGGCTTTTTGTTCCATTTATAACACACCGGCAGAGTAGATTTAGCATTTTTAAGGGCTCTAGGATTTTTGCAATGGCAAGTGAGAATTAGCTTCAGCTGTCACCAGCTGCATTAGCTTCTAACAAGAAGGACAGCCTGTCCTTTGAAGCTTTGAAGCTTTGAAGCTTTGACTTCTGCTCTGTCTAGCTAAGAAAGTCATAAATGACATCTTTTTCTAATATAAGGTTATTTCACTTACACTGAAAATCTGTTTCTTAGTGTAGCCACCTTCATTACTTGCCTTACTTAGATCATCTGGATAACTTGCTATAGCTCCTACATTAGCACTTGCTGCTTCACCTTGCACTTTTATGTTATGGAGATGCCTTGTTTCCTTAAACCTCATGAACCATCCTGTGCTGGCTTCAAACTTTTCTTCTGCAGATTCCTCACCTCTCTCAACCTTCCTAGAATTGAAGAGAGTTAGGACCTACCTTGCTCTGGATTAGGTTTTGGCTTAAGGAAATATTGTGACTGGTTTGATCATCTATCCAGACCACTAAAACTTTCTCCGTATCAGCAGTAGGTTTGCTTTCTTATCATTTGTGTGTTCACTAGAATAGCATTTTTAAGTTCCTTTGAGAACTTTCCCTTTACATTCACAACTTTGCTAACTGGTGTAAGGCTTTCAGCCTGTTTTGGCTTTTGACAGTCCTTCCTCACTTATCTTAATCATTTCTAGCTTTTGATTTAAAAAAAAAAAATATTTATTGATCTGAGACAGAGGAAGGGAGAGGGAGGAGAGAGATAGAAACATCAATGATGAGAGAATCGTCATTGATCGGCTGCCTCCTACATGCCCCTGACTGGGGATCGAACCACCAGGCATGTTCCCTGACCGGGAATTGAACCACCATCTCCTGGATCTTAGGTGGATCGATGCTCAACTGCTGAGCTATGCTTGGCCGGACTCTAGTTTTGATTTATAACGAGAGATGTGCAACTCTTTTTTTTTTTACTCGAACATTTAGAGGCCCTTGTAGGGTTATTAATTGGCCTAATTTCAATATTGTGTCTAGGAAATAGGGAGGCCCAAGGAGACAGGGAGAGATTGGGGAATGGTGGTTTGGTGGAGTAGTCAGCACACAAGCAGCATTTATTAAGTTTGTCATCTTATATGGGTGTGGTTCATGGCATCCCAAAACAGTTGCAATAGTAACATCAAATATCATTGATCACAGATCACAATAACAAATATAATAATAATGAGAAAGTTTGAAATACTGTGAGATTACCAGAATATGACACAGCGAAATGAAGTGAGCAAATGCTGTTAGAAAAAGCTGAAAGACTTGACTTGCTCAGTGCAGGGTTGCCACAAACCTTTAATTTGTAAAAAGTACAATATCTGTGAAGCACAATAAAATGAGTTATACCTGTATAGAAATGTATTCAGTTCAGATTTATCTCTACAAAAGAATATTTTAATTGCAGTGGGAATGGATTCAAGTAAGCCAGTGGGATAGAAGAAAGATCTCTAGTAGAAGGCTGTTTGTGTTAATCTAAGTGACAGATAATGGGGATCTAAAATAAGATTGTGTTTGTGAGGATAGGAGAGTTATTGATAGGTTCATTTAGGGAAATAGAGTGGACAGGAATTAGTGATTAGAAGAGATGAGGAAAAAAGAGGAATGAATCAAGGGTGGCACTTTGCCATATGGTTGTATAATTGCATGTATATTGGTGTCATTCACTGGAAGGAACAGAAGAAATTGGGAATTTATGATTTTAGGTATAGGCGTGTCGGATTATAAGTATTGCTGGAATGCCAAGTGAGGACATCCATTATAGTTGATTAGATAGATGTATTGTAGTAGTAGCTGCTGTAACATAAAAATGAATGAACATATAATAATTTTAAAATATTACATTGTCCTGGCTGGATGGCTCAGTTAATGGGAGCATCACCTGTGCACCAAAAAGTCATAAGTTCGATTCCTGGTCAGGGCACATACCTAGGTTGTGGGTTCAGTCTCTGGTCAGGGGGCATATGGGAGGCAACTGATGTTTCTTTCTCACATGGTTGTGTCTGTCTCCCTCCCTCTCTCTAAAATCAATGAACGTATCATCTGGTGAGGATTAATAAAAAACCTCATTACGTTACTCATGCAGTGTTCAAAAGGGTATTCCTCATTGGTAAATATTTCATCTCCAGTCTTTTAGAGGTCCAGTCTCTTCCTTTTCTTGGAGTTCTACCTTCTTCAACATGTAGTCTCCAAGGTTGTGTTCAGCTGTATCAAGCCAGTGAAGAGATAAAGTATGTAGGAGGCATGTCCACTTCATAACCAACACAGCCTGAAAATGACATACATCATTTCTGTTCACATTCCATTGGTGGCAACTAATCTTACAGCTTTACTTATCTATAAAGAGATTTGAGAAATGTGGTCTCTAGCTGGGCCCCTGCTTTCCAGAGACTAGATATTATGAAAGGGAGAATACAGTTCACTGTTAGCTATATCTACCATGGATTTGAGAATCATTAGCATATAAATAATTGAAAAGCATAAGAATGAGATGTCCTAGGACATGTAAAGAATGAGAAGGAAAGGTTGTTGAGGATGTAACCTAGGGAGTAGGGGAAGAGAAGCCACGTAAAGGATACTGAGAAAAAAATTTTGAGAGTAGTGTTATGGAAACTGAGGCAGGAGGAGTTCAAAGTAATGTCAGCATCATATACTCTGTAAGGTAATATAAGATAGTATGGATTGCATTAAGCAACGGGAAGGCTTATGGTGGCCTCTGTCAACAGTTTCAGATTTGAGTAGAAACTCAGAAGTTAGTCTTTTTTCCAAGATATAAGCAGTGGTTCTCAAACTTTTGGGTCTTAGGATCCCTTTAAACACTTAGAAATTATTGAGGACTATAGAGAACTTTTATTTTTATTGGTTACATTTATTGATATATATTGTATTAGAAATTGAAACTGAAAATTTCAAAATATTTACTTAGTAATTCATTAAAAAATAACACTAATAACTCCTTTCATGTTAATGTAAATAACATATTTTTAAATAATTATTTTCCAAGACAAAAATAATTTAGTTAGAAGAGTGGCATTGTTTTACATTTTTGTAAATCTTCTAAATGACCTACTAGAAGATAGCTAGATTCTCACATCTGCTTCTGCATTCAGTCTCTTGTGATATGTTGTTTTGGTTGAAGTGTATTAAGAAAACCCAGTTCATACAGATATGTAGTTGGAATGAGAAGGACCTCACTGACCCCCTGAAAGTGTTGCAGGGACTTTCCAGGGGTCTTTGGACCACATTTTAAGAACTATGGAATTACAGGATTAGATATAAGGTAAGAAGGTAGAAGAGTTTTGACTCTATTTAAATGTTGATGAAAAAGGAGGTTATAAGGAGGATACGGTTAGAGAAAGAGGTGGTACTTGGCCAAGTAGGATTTTTGAAGGTCCTGGCTGATTTAGAAAAATTAGTTTTAGAAAGGAGGTAGGGAGGGACCTCTCAGGATTTTTCACTAAATAAGTCCCTAGCACATAGTAAGGCTTGAATAATGTTACCTGTTATTACTGCTCAAGCAGGAATGAGGCAAGGATAGGTGAGAATTTGATTAAGTTTGGAGATAGGTTGATAGGAAAAGGTGAGTTCTCATCTGGTGAATTCTGTGTGTGCCCACATACATATTAATCTGCATATGACTGTAAGAGACAAAGTCATATGCTAAGACTAAGGAATAGACGGGGAGGGGAGGAGTTCAAAGAGAGCAGATAAGTTTTGAAGGGAGAACTGAAGAAAGAGCCTAGCAATGGAACATGGGAGAATTGTTACATATGTACTATAATTGTAGAAATTCTTGTTATGGAAAAATATCTATTAGCAATTTGAAAAATACATTCGTCACTTTTTTAGACAGAAAATCCCCTGTTCTATCCTACGTAAACTTCCTGGGTGGCTATTTAGGCCATCTTGATTAAGAGTCACAGGTAACCCAGCTGCTTGCTTGCAGGCTGTAATGTTACCCTTTTTGGGTCTTTGAGACTGTTACTTTCTCTTGGTCAGGTCTGTAGTACCTACTTTCCTTGAATAGTCGGAGTCTGGCCCTGACAGGCAGCATTGGCGGCCTGCTTCCTTAGTGGCTGACTCCTGGTCTAGGAAGTTTGATTTCTTCCATTATGTTGTAATTTATCACTAGGTTACAAAAAATTATTTTTATACTTATTTGTAAATAGATTCTTTTCCTTTATTTGTTCTTTGTTGTATGTTGTGTTCTCTTTTCTCAGCCAAGCATTTAGGTGCTTTTCTCCTTACTGCCATTGGAGGAGAATACAGTCATTTTAAAACAGACTTTTCAAAACGTAAATTTATTTGGCTAATGTCAAATTATATAGATAACATTACTGCGCTTTTTTGACTCTTTAAAAAGATTGGGCAGTGGACACACAGTGTAATATACGGATCATGTATCAAAGAAATGTACACGTGAAACCTGTATGATCTTATTAACCAATGTCACCCCAATAAATTTTTTAAAAGATTGTTTTATATTAGAAAGGATTGAACATTTAAAAGATTTTTTACCTTGTGTAGTACAAGTTGATTTTTATTATTATATACAAATTTATTAGTAAATAGGCATGAAATTATGTTTACTATGCTGTTTCAAAAAAAGGGAACCCAGCTAGAATTATTTTTACTTAGTTTAAAAGTTTCCGTTCATATCTGTTGGTCTGCTTTTGTGTTGCTTTAAGCTCACCTTTTATTCCTGATGCACTGCAGCTTCTCTAACAGCTCTCTTTCACATGTATTTTACGTTTTTGCCATGTAGGTCTTTCACAGTTCTGCAGCCCCAGGCGGGCATTCTCTGAACAGGGTCCGCTCCGCCTGATCAGGAGCGCCTCTTTCTTTGCAGGTTTGCGATGTGCTCTGTGGGTAGACTAGTTGGTGTGCCCCAGTGGCTAGAATTGTAGTTAAGCTGTGGAAACAAGAGAGTAAATAAATGTAGTTGGGGAGGGTTTGGTTAAGAAAACATTGCTTAGGAAGTACAAGAACTTAATTTAGTTCTACTGAATATGTTCTTGAAGTTTCCAGAAACGTTATCAGTGGAATTAACAATTTCATGAAATTTCAGTGTTTGTCATTTCTTACCTCATTATGTAATAATGATTTTAACTTTAGAATTCCAAACCAAATTCTAGTGTAAGTATTATAATCCAGTTGGAATTTTTAATGTGACACTATCTTGTTTCCATGGCTGAGTAGCTTTTGTACCATACATAGTTCACTAATTGCAGAAAATATCCTGTCTTTTTATTATTGTAAAATTTCTGATCTATACTGTTCATAAGAATGATTTCTCTTGGAGCTAAGATTTAGGTGAACAAGCACCATTATAATTACTCTGTAAAAGGCATATACGAGTGTATTTGTTTATATTATTGTAGAATATATTAATATTTCAGTATTCAGGAAGTTATATTCAATTTCTTATTTTGATATTTATTTTCCTTAAAAATATGAGATATGAACAATACATATTTATTATAGAAAATTGGGGAAATATGAAAAATAGGCAAAAAATATATGTTCACCATCTGGTAGCCAGAAGTAACCTCCTTATTTTTTAAAAAACAAAATTGGGATCATACTATTCAAATCGTGTTTTTAAAATTTTTATTATGTAGAATTTTTAAACATACATTGTTACAGGCAGAATAACACAGTGAACTAGCATATGCTCATCAGTCCCAGCAGTCATCATTCTTACTGTTCAGTAGCTTCCTTTTTAAAAATTTAATAGTATATTGTGAATATTTTGCTATGTCATTGAATATGCCTTTAAAATACTTATTTTAGTCACCCTGCTTTACATATTATAGATTATTTTCATATTATATGTCAAATCATTAGATCTCAAAGCTTGTTCAACTGAGTAATAGCTCTTGGTGTTGGGTTTGTGCCATGCTATTGAAAAAATAAAGGAATGCAATGAGATGAGCATGATTGAGTTTGCTGTTTAAAAGGAACAACGTCAGCCTGAATAGCAATATATTTTATAACTGACAGTTTTGTCTTGATTCACAGTTCACAGCAACCCAATGGACATGCCTGGAAGAGAGCTGAATGAGGACAGAGACAGTGGCATAGCACGCTCTGGTAATGCCAGGTTCATGTATTAATCCAGTTTTTTATGAGATAACTGTTAGCTGACATTGATTTTCTTTGTTATCTTTGCCTTTATCCTTCAGTTTTATGTATACGGCTTGTTAGTATTGGTATTACAAGAGAATTATAGAAACAGCGGAGAGAAATATTTTAAATTCAAAGTATTTCATATATACTATTACATGTGCCTGGTGGAGCATGGCCTGGATGAATGCACAGTGGCTTAGGCTTAGCCAGTACAAAAAAAAAATATTGCTCAAGAGACTGCTTAGGTAGTAGAAAAAACACATTTGTTTATATCCGCTTGCTCCCTAACTAGAGTTTAAATTGTCAGATTGTCCCTTGCCCAGTAAGACTTAAGCATTTTGAACTTTTTTTTTTCTTTCTTCAAATATGGACTCTCCCAAAATTTCTCTGACAAACTTTTGTTGAAACAAGCTGGGAATAAAAAATAAATGCCCAGATTCTACCCCCCCAGTCAGGAAAATCATCTGTCATTGTTAATTGTGTGGTTCATTCTGTGATAGACCCAGAGAAAGGGAATCTAACAGCCTGGGCAAGGGACAGAGGGATAATACTTGAGTTGTGTCTTAAAAAATAAATAGGCATTATCCAGGCAAAGGCATGGAAGAAGGACATTCCATTTAAAAGCAAAAGTGTCTGTCAGGACTTAGAGATCAGCATAAGTGAAAGAAGGAGTAATCTTAGGCTTGAGTTATTGTTAGGCATGAGAAACTTTATTCACTGTAGTTATCCATGTGTGTGGTCACATTATATGGCTCTGCTATCAAAATTGATTACAATTCAATTTTGAGTATAGATGGGAAGTCCAAACTTACCATATATTGTAATCCCTAGTTTGCATTGGAATAATAAATTTCGAAAAAATTTTGCAGATGCCTGAACGCTACTCCTGAAGACTCCAATTTAGCCTAGAGAAAGTCTTAGGCATCCATACTTGAGAAACAAAACAACATGAAAAACTTCAACACCTAATTCTGATGGGCAGCTAGAGTTCAGAACCACTAGTCTAATATTGAAAGTCTGCATCTTTCAAACAATCTCACCATTTCTAATTGAGTTTGTTATTTTTGTTCTTTGGAACTAATCTGGACTATATTTCTCTTAATACCTTTGCTTCTATATAATGTAGAGATTTAGTTTTCTCTTGTGTCTGGAATTTAATTCACATTATTTTATCCAACATTTTGGAGGTGATAAATTCATGTCTCTATACTTCATTTTCTTCAGCTATAAATTGAAGTGCCTGGCTACATTGATCAGTAAGGCTTCTTCAAGCCATTAAATTCACATGTGCCATTTAAGTTAATTGTGTATTTTCTGTATTTTCTAATAGGGTTATTTTAATTTCTGAGTTTAGTAAAACATAGCTTCTCCAAATTTAGAGTAGCATTTGATTTTTCACTAAAGTCATACCTAGAATTTGTTATACATACCCAGTCTTAGTCTACAAAGTTTTACAGTACTCATTGATAAAATGTGATCTTTTCAAGAATGGAATTTAGAAAGAATTCATTGGTGGTTCAGATGTTTGCATGGTTATTAAAACTCTCCCCTTTATCACTGAACTTATCAGAAAGAATTCAGATGAACAAATCTTTGTACTGTCAGTCTCTCAGTCCTGGTGTCCAACATGATATATCATGTGGCATGTACCTTTTCATAGGTGATAATAATACCTCCCTGTTTTTGATTACTTTATAAATTTTCAGTATGTGGTTATAATCATGAAGATGAGAATCTAAAAATATTGCCAAACAAAAGCAGGCTTTGAATGTCTTCTCTATAGATCCAGTGGGAGGAAGGAGAACATGCCTAGCTCAAGGAAAAAGAAAGAGCTGTAGCTTTTTATACCCCAGGCAAAAAACAGCTTTTGGATTGCATAGAATGGTTTTAGGAAGAGACTAATCCCCACAGTTATGGGATTACAGAAATTATAATCAAAGTGGACTGTATTGGAATGTGTCTGTTAACCATTAGAATGCTCCAGAGAGCAGTTTATAGGATTTACCCTTTTTTTGGAGCTTGGTGTAGGTATAGACTCTTATTAAAAGTGGCCAAGCATCCACAAGCTTGACTACCTATGCACAAGTGATCCACGAGTACTTTTAAGTGACATCTTTTTTTTCAAATACAGCTTTTATTCTTAACATCCAACTCCTGCATTAAAATGGAATCACATCATATTTCCTTTAATTTAAGGACTAAGGGCTCAGCTAAGCTAGGGGACAGTCTCATGGCCAAAGAGATAATGCTTTGTTTCAAAGTAGCATTTTCTTCCTTGGTGGGGCTGGGGGTAAGGATGTTAAGGGGGATTGTCTGAGTCTCCTGCCAACACACCATTGTTAATATATGATTTTTCTCCTCTGGGACATTGCTCCAGCAATGATGTTATTAAATGGAAATTTTAGAGGTTCATGAAGTAAAATGGAAAATTTGAGTCACCACTCTTAAATTTGTTAAAAAGAAATTTGTCCTTTTCTTTAGTTATAATTGACTTATACATTATATATGTTCTTATTCTGACTTGACAGCATCTCTCAGCAGCTTGCTTATTACACCATTTCCCTCCCCGAATTCGTCACTTACCCGAAGTTGTGCCAGCAGCTACCAGAGACGTTGGCGACGCAGCCAAACAACAAGTTTGGAGAATGGGGTATTTCCTAGATGGTAAGTTGGAACTTGCAATTTACATAAACAAGCTTGAATAGCCCCTTAAACACAATTTTGTATGGTTTTTTTAGAGGCTGGACTTACATTTTATGTATTTTAAGATTAGAACTTAAAACTTTTTTTTTTAAATTATCTTTATTATTGAGAGTATTACAGATGTTTCCCCCTTTTCTTCCTCATTGCCCCCCTCCACCTGCCTGCGGCCCCACCCTAGGCCTTCATCACACTATTGTCTATGTCCATGAGCAGTGAGTATATGCATAAGTTCTTTGGTTAATCTCTTTCTGTCCCACTTCCCCCTTTTCCTCTGAGATTCATCAGTCTGTTCCATGCTTCCATGTCTCTGGTTCTGTTTTGTTCATCAGTTTTATTCTGTTCATTAGATTCCCCATTTAAGTGAAATCAAATAAGTGATATTGTCATTCTCTGCCTGGTTTATTTCGCTTAGCATAATACTCTCCAAGTCCCTCCATGCTGTCTCAAAGGGTAAGAGATCCTTCTTTTTTATAGCTGCATAGTATTCTATGGTGTAAATGTCCCACAGCTTTTTTATCCACTCATCTACTGATGGGCACTTGGGCTATTTCCAGATCTTAGCTATTGTAAATTCTGCTGCTGTGAGCATAGGAGTGCATATATTTTTTCTGATTGGTGTTTTGGGATACTTAGGATATATTCCTAGAAGTGGGATCACTGGATCAAATGGCAGTTTTATTTTTAATTTTTTGAGGAAACTCCACACTGTTGTAGCCGCACCAGTCTGCATTCTCACCAGCAGTGTGCAAGGGTTCCTTTTCCTCCACATCCTTGCCAGCATTTGTTGTTTGTTGATTTATTGGTGGTAGACATTCTGGCAGGTGTGAGGGGGTACCTCATCGTAGTTTTAATTTGCATTTCTCTGATTAGTGATGTTGAGCATTTTTTCTTATGCCTTGTGGCCATCTCTGTGTTCTCTTTGGAGAAGTGTCTATTCAGGTCCTTTGCCCATTTTTTAATTGAATTGTTTGTATTCCTTTTGTTGAATTGTAGGAGTTCTTTATATATTTTGGAAATTAATAGCTTATAAGATGTATTATTGACGAATATGTTCTCCCATATAATGGATTCCCGTTTCATTTTGTTAATGGTTTCTCTTGCTGTGCAGAAGCTTTTTATTTTGATATAGTTCCATTTGTTTATTTTCTCCATTGTTTCCCTTGCCCTAGAAGATGTATTGACAAACATTGCAATGAGAGATGTCTGAGAGTTTGCTGCCTATGGTTTCTTCTAGGATTTTTATGGTTTCACAACTTACATTTAAGTCTTATATTCATTTTGAGTTTATTCTTGTGTAAGTTGGTCTTCTAGTTTCATTTTTTTGCATGTACCTGTCCAATTTTTTCAACACCATTTATTGAAGAGAGTGTCTTTACTCCAGTGTGTGCTTTTGCCTCCTTTGTCAAATGTTAATTGAGTATAAAGGCTTGGGTCGATTTCTGGGTTCTCTGTTCTGTTCCATTGTTATATGTGCCTGCTCTTGTGCCAGTACCAGATTGTTTTGATTGCAGTGGCTTTGTAGTATTAACTTTATATCTGATATTGGGATTCCTCCAACTTTGTTCTTCTTTCTCAAGATTGCTGCAGCTATTCAGGGTCTTTTTTGGTTCCATATAAATTTTTGGAGTATTTGTTCTAAATCTGTGAGATTTGTGAAATACGTCATTGGTATTTTAATAGGGATTGTTTTGAATCTGTAGATTGCTTTAGGTACTTGGGACGTTTTTATGATGTTAATTCTTCTAGTCCATGAACGTGGTATATGCTTTCACTTGTTTGCATCTTCCTCTATTTGTTTTTTCAGTGTCCTATAGTTTTCTGAGTACAAATCTTTTACCTCCTTGGTTAAGTTTATTCCTAGATATCTTGTTTTTTTTGTTGCAATGGTAAATGGGGTTGTTTTTTTAGTTTCTCTTTATGAGAATTCATTATTGGTGTATAAAAATGCCATCGATTTCTGTATGTTAATTTTGTATCCTACTACTTTCCCAAATTCATTTATTAAATCTAGTAATTTTTTGATGGGTTCTTTAGGATTTTCTATATACAATATCATGTCATCTGTGAATAATGACAGTTTTACTTCCTCCTTTCCAATTTAGATGCCTTTAACTTTTTCTTCTTTGTCTGATCGCTGTGGCCAGGATTTCAAGTACTGTGAATAAGAGTGGTGAAAGTGGACACCCCTGTCTTTTACCTGTTCTTAGGGGAAACTTATAGTTTTTGCCCATTTAATATGATGTTGGCTGTAGGTTTTTCATATATGGCCTTTATTATGTTGAGGTATTATCCCTCTATTCCTACTTTGCTGAGAGTTTTTATCGAAAATGGGTATTGGGCTTGGCCTCCGTGGCTCAGCAGTTGGACATCGACCTATAATCCAGGAGATTGTGGTTTGAGTCCTGGTCAGGGCACATGCCTGGGTTTGGGGCTCGATCCTCAGCAGAGGGCATGCAGGAGGCAGCCAATCAATGACTCATCATTGATGTTTCTCTCTCTCTCCCTCTCCCTGTCTTTCTCTGAAATCAATAAAGACATATTTTTTATTTTAAAAAAAGGGTGTTGGATTTATTCAAATGCTTTCTCTGCATCTATTGATATGATCATGTGATTTTTATTTTTAATTTTGTTTATGTTATCTATCACATTTATTAATTTGCAAATATTGTACCAGCCTTGCATTCCTGGAATTAATCCCACTTGGTCATGGTGTATGATCCTTTTAATGTATTGCTGCATCCAATTTGGTTATATTTTGTTGAGGATTTTAGCATCTTCATCAGGGGTATTGGCCTGTAATTTTCTTTCTTTGTAGTATCTCTTTCTGGTTTTGTAATTAGGATAATGCTGGCCTTGTAAAGAGAGCTGGAAAGTTTTCCTTCCTCTTGGATATTTTTTGGAATAGTTTGAGGAGGATAGATGTTAGTTTTTCTTTGAATGTTTGGTAAAACTCCCCTGTGAAGCCATCCAGTCCAGGACTTTTGTTTGCTGGGAATTTCTTTGATTACTGCTTCAGTTTCTTTACTTGTTATTGGTCTATTCAGGTTTTCTCGTTCTTCCTGATTGAGTTTTTGAAGATTGTATGCTTCTAGGAATTTGTCTGTTTCACCCAGGTTTTCCAGTTTGTTGGCAAATAGTTGTTCATAGTATTTTCTTACAATCCTTTGTGTTTATGTGATGTCAGTTCTTACTTTGCCTCTTTCATTTCTGATTTTATATATATGGGTCCTTTCTTTTTTGTTTGTTTCTTTCTTTTTTAATATCTTTATTGATTTCAGAGAGAGGAAAGGAGAGGGAGAGAGAGAGATAGAAACATCAATGATGAGAGAGTCATTGATTGGCTGCCTCCTGCATGCCCCCGACTGGGGATCGAGCCCTCAACCCAGGCATGTGCCCTGACCGGGAATGGAACCCCGATTGCCTGGATCCTAGGTCGACGCTCAACCGCTGAGCCACGCCCGGCCAGGCTCTCTTTGTTTCTTGATGTGTCTTGGCTAAAGGTTCATCAATCTTGTTTTTGTTTATGTTTTCAAAGAGCCAGCTCTTGGTTCCATTGATCTTTTGTATTGTGTTTAAATATATTCCATTGTTTTTTATTGTGATAAAAGTAGGCATAACATAACATTTACCATTTTGACCATTATTAGGTATATAGTTCAGTGGCATTAAGTACCTCCACATTGTTTTGCAACTATTCTTGTCCTGAGCGTATCTCTCCAAACTGAACTCTGTACCCATTAAACAGTAATTACCCCCCATTCCTCCCTCCTCTTAGCCCCTGGCAATCACCATTCTATTTTTTGTTTCTGTGAATTTGACTACTACAGATACCTCACATATTGGAGTCATATAATATTTTTCCTTTTATGTGTGGCTTATTTAACTTGGTATGTCGTCAAGGTTCATTCAGGATGTCGCACACATTAAAATTTCATTGTTTTATGGCTGAATAATAGTCTCTTGTATGCATTTTTGTTTATATTCATCTGTTGATGGACATTTGGGTTGTTATCACATTTTGGCTATTGTGAATAAAGCTACTATCAACATGGGTGTAAAAATACCAGTTCGAGTCCTTGCTTTACTTTTGAGTCTATACCCAAAAATGGAATTGCTGGCTTATATAGTAATTCTGTGTTTAAGTTTTTTAGGAATCACAATACTATTTTCTGCACTGGCTACACCATTTTGCATTTCCACCAGAAATGCACAAGAGTTTTAATTTCTCCACATCATTGCCAATTGTTATTTTCTGTCTTTTTGATCATAGCCATCCTAATAGGTGTGAAGTGGCATCTCATTTGAGTTTCTGTAATGGTTAGTGGTGTTGAGCGTGTTTTCATGTGCTTTTTGGCCATATGTATTCTTCTTTGAAGAAGTGTCTATTCAGGTGTTTTGCCCATTTTAAAATCAGGTTATTTGTCTTTTTGTTGTTGTTGAATTGTAGGTGTTGTTTATATATTCTGGATATCAATCTCTTATCAGACAAATACCTTGCAAATGTGTTCTATTCCATGAGCTGCCTTTCATTCTTTCAATAGTGTTTTTTTTTTAAATTTTTTAAATCCTCACCTGAGGATATTTTTCCATTGCTTTTCAGAGATAGTGGGGGGGGGAGACATTGATGTGAAAGAGACACATCAATT